CCAGCAGTCCAAAATTTGGACTCACCGTTGCCTGACTCCCAGGAGTCTGCACATTTCATGAGCTGCCCTGCTGCCCGTTCCTAAGCCTCAGAGGCTAGTGAGGCGAGGAGGTTCTGATGCCTTTGGGCCCACTGGAGGGACAGAGCCTCGGTAGAGCTGATGATGTCACTGTCTGAAGATGCAGCGAGACCGCGCTGTCCTCTCATCTGTTTGTTCAGGGTACTGTGGCACTTTAGAGCAGAGGGCCAGCCTGCTTGAAGCTCACTCTCATGAAGAGAGCCCTGAAGACACAGATAGGCAAATCTATAGAGAAATCTGTAGGAAAGTGTGGTGAAGAAGCTAGATAGTGCCCTGCCATCAAAAGGAATAGCGTCTAGGGTCTTTCAAGTGTGTCTTCAAACAATCAGCCATCTAAGTGAAGCACCAACGAAGTCCTCATGAGAGAAGCACACCAGCCTGTGCGCTCCAAGGATGATAAATAAATAAAATGCAAATCGGAAGGAGGGGATGGTGTCAGAGCGTACATTGTGAATACCTGGTTTGCAGAAGGCTGTGGATGACAGTGGAAGCCCCAAGTCCATTTGTAGGGATGACAGGGATTAAGCTTCCGGTGAATTCGCTCTGACCATAGCAGAGGTTTGGGAATAGCCCTGTTATCAGAGAACATTGTAAAATTGATTATGGCAGATTTAGTTAGGTTAAAGTGTAATAGCTAATTATTTGATCTCCTCCTTGACCCATTTTAAAGTTGTTTCAGTTTAAAAAAAAAGTGAAGCGGGAAAACACGTGGGTTAAGCCTCTGGTGAGTCTCCCGTGACCCCGCTGCCATAACCCAGGGATGTGAATGATGGCCTCGCTGTCCTGCAGAGCGCAGTGGAAAGAGGATGACTGCAGATGCAGTTAGCTTAAAATCGAACACCTTGTTGTGTGATCTCCCTCTTGCCACATTTTAAAGTTGTTCTAGATTTCAGTATTTTCTGCTTTTTTCCCAATTGAGGTTTTTCTGTTTTACTTTGTTATTGTTAGATTTTAAAAAATGGTTTCCTGTGTGCGAAATCCAGGATAGGCAAATCTATAGAAATAATAACTGAATTAGTAATTTCTTGGAGGTATGGCATAGGAGGTTGGGAATAAAAGGGCAGCTAATAATGAGGAATATAGGAACAAAGAAAATGTTCTCAAATTGATTGCAGTGATGATTGTACAACTCTTCTTAATGGGATTGAACTTTTGAATTGTATGATTTGTCAATTATATGCCAATAAAATGGTTTTAAAAAAAAAGAGAGCAGAGGGCCAGGGTGCACAGTGAGCCTGAGACACTCACTTGATCTATTACCTCTCAAAGTCCTAACCCTTTAAAATGTGGGTCATGATTACCACGTCAAGGGTTAGGGCTGTTTTGAGGATCCAGCGAGCGAGATCATGCTTGAGCAATGTGGAGCACGTGAGGACTGTATTACTTTGAATCCCACTGCCTTTCTCTGAGTGGTTCAGATTTTGTTCTCCTGGTTGCTGATGGAGACCAGTGATGTCTGAACCTGGCTGACGTCCGAATTACTTGCCTGCAGAACGGATGCTTGGGCCCCACCCCAGGAGGTTTTGATTAAGGACTGGGAAAGGGTCTGGACCTTCTCCTCGTGAACACACTACCAGGGAATCCTGATGCCCAGTCAGCTTGGTGGGAACGGATTTACCAGGATAGATGGCGCAGGCACAGTGGGGAAGGGATTAGGAAAGTTCGAAGGTTTAGGGTTCTTTTCCAAGTGCCCTTGTTCCCTTTCTTGTCACTACTAGCACCCTTTTCTTTACCTCCTCCCCAAATCAAGCACCCCACCCTGTAGCCAACAGTATGTCAGTGGCACTGAGTTCCACAGAGCCCTGGAGGCCTGGGAAGCCAGAACAAGGCTAGGAAGCAGGACACCAGAAATCCTCCCCTGGATTTGGGCCCTTCTGACTCATGGGTGGCCCTCTGTCTGTCAGCCTCCAGGCATCAACTTGCTCCCAGTCACCAGAGAGTTAAGGAAAGCAGAGTTGCCCATTTGTTCCCACAGAGCCTTTGCATGATGTGCACAGTGCAAATGCTCTTGGCACAAGGCTGGGTCCTCCTCAGTCACTCAGGCCTCAGCTTACCTGTCACCTGTGCAGAGAGGCCTTTGCCAATCAATCCCCAAATCGAAAGTGCCATTCCAGGTGCTGGGTGGGACACACAGGTATTTCCATTTTTATCTTAGCATTGATCACTCTAGATCCCTTGGCGGCCCAAATGGTTAAGTGCTTGACTACCAACCCAACGGCTGGTGATTTGAACTCGCCTAGCAGTGAGCACTGTGGAAGCAACTGACTCCACAGCAGTAAGTAACAGGGAAATCATAACTCATTCATTACCAGTGGATTCTGACTTGTAGTCCCCCTATAGGACAGGGTAAAAAGGCTCCTGTGGACTTTTTCTTGTTTATTCACTTCTTCATGCGTTGTCTGCCTCCTCTGCTATCGAATGTAAGCACCAGCTAATCAGGTCTTAGGTGGTGTTGTTTACCACTGTGGTCTCTGAATTCCATTCAGTGGCTGAATGAGAATATGTGAGTTCTTGGGGTTTGCCTAGCATGAACTATGACTCTTTCTCTTTTGGCTAAGGAACAGTTGAGATTCCGAGAGAAGCGACTGCCTGCGAATCTCAGATCCAGGCCTTTTGTCTTCTTTCACCAAGCCCCTCCCATAAAACCTGGCTGACACACAGCCTGGCTGGGGCGAGGCTCCCAGGTGTGATGAAAGCTTGGAGTTGCCCCACAAATGGGCTGAGGCTGAGGCTGATGTGGAGGTGAGAAGGCGGAAGGCCAGAGCATTTGAAGAGAGAGACAGGCTGGGACAGGAGAACAGGGTGGGAACCTGGTGGGGAGGGTGATTTGGCTGTGTGTCAGGAAGTATTTCCTTCCACCCTCCCCTGGAGGGTAGGAGGAGGGTGTGTGTGTGTGTGTGGGGGGTGTCCGGGAAGAGATTGGGGCTGACCCCAAAGTGGCTTCATTTTGAGGAAGCAGGGATAGTCAAGTATCTGCTGAGGGTGGACAAGGGCGTGGCTTGGGCAGTGACCATCTGCCGAGACTGATCACCCAAGGATTAATCCAAGAGTGGCATGTGGCCAAGTAGGTGATGGGTGAGCTTCTACCTGAACTAGAACCTGAGCCTGGGGAAGGGAAAGAAGAGGGTCTTCAGCCTGGAGTTGGGACTGCTGAGGTAAGGAAGTCGCCAAGGTAGAATGGTTTGTGATGACAAAAATGATGATGATGCTAAGAATACGTCCCATTTATTTAGTGTTCATAAAATGCTGGCACTGAACTAGCTTTCATATGTGCTTGCTTTTCAACTCTCCAAACGTTCTACAAAGTAGGCATTTCTATTCCCATTTAAGAGAGGTGAAAATTGGGACCCGGTGTGATTCGGTATCTTGTCCAAGGACACACAGTAGATGCCAAAGGCGAGATTCATACTCAGGTCTCTAGTGATTCCTGTAGAAACCTAGGGCCCCGGGAAAGGTGGTTGGAGCAAGTTCAGAGGGCAGGTCAGACTGACCCCTACAGAAGTGTGGGCCAGGAAGGAAGGGCAGTGGGTTAAATGTTAGCCTTGTTTATATCCCCTCCCTCAGGCCGAATCAGGCAAATGACTCTATCTGGCAGCCCTGTGTCAAACATTTTCCTCCCCTTATACACCTGCAAAAAGCCCTGGTGGGTGGCGCTGTCGTGTGAGCATTGGATGATAACCACAAGGTCGGTGGTTCAAATCCACCAGAGGCTCTGCAGGGGGAAGATGAGGCTGCTTGTACAAAGATTTACAACCTTGGAAACCCAGTGTAGGGTGGCTATAAGTAGAATCGAAATCGATATGATGGCAGTGGACGCACCCCTGGGAGCTGAAGTTCTCACGGAGAGAGTGTTTTCACTGGTCAGGACAGGGACTGCAGAAGCCCCCGGTGCAGATTCGTGGGCTGGAGGAGAAACCCATGAGTCTGCAGGCACTTGGTGAACACTGGCCCCCTGTTAATCAGCTGGGTGCCGATCCTGTAGGAATGGAGTGCGGTTGGCACCCGTGTGGGGTGGCGTACGTTTTCATGTTGGGGAAGAAGGTGATGTTCAATGGCTTGTTCCACAACCGGTGTCTGTAATCCAGGAGTTTAGGAATTATGATTCACAGTTTAAAAATCCTAAAAGAGACGCTGTCCCCTGGGGAAAAGGTGCGGGCCAGCCACTCCTGGGGCTGGAGGCTTTCTTTTGCTTTTGCTGGAATGATACCAAAGTGGCAGCCACCACAACTCCGCGGCTACCCCAGGTTCAGACCTGCTGGCATTCAAGCGTCTAATTTCTAAATGAAAAATTAATGATCATTTATGATTCGCTGTGCCAGCCAAAGTCGGTTTCTGAATTCGCGGTGGCACGAGTGAAGACCCGTGGCTGGGAAGAGGGACGGTCCGAGGGAGGGACCAGGCCCCGAGAGGGAAGGGACGAGGGGGTGGGGGTGGGGGTCCAAGGGCCGAGGCTCAGCAATCTCAAGGTGGCTATTTGGGGAAAGGTAAGACCTGGTCCCCCGCCACCTGCCAGTCGGCGGCCGAGCTCCCAGTCAGGCCCCGGCGCTTCTGGCCTGCTCCCAAAATCTGTGCGCGCCGCCCCCTCCCCGCCACGCCCGCGGGGTCCGGGGCCGCGCCGGCGGCGCCGCGCGGCGCGGGGTGTGGTGGTGGTGGGGAGTCCTGGCGTGGAGGGGCGGGGCGGGGGCAGCGCGGGGCGGGGCGGAGCTCCGGCGCCTCCCGAGCCTTATTCCCCGCCGCGCGCCGGGAGCGCTCAGTCAGCCGGGAAGCGGCGCGCTGCACGGTTCTTGCCAGCGGAACGGAGGCGGTGCCGGGCTCGGGCGGAGCGGGTGAGCAGACCGAGTCACCGCGGCCCCGAGCAACCGCGCAGGTCTGCGCCCGGCTGGCATCGAGAGGCGGGCAGCAGACGGTGCCAGGCGGAATCTCCGCGCCCTGCCCGCCCGGCTTCCCACGCCAGCGCCCCGTGGCCGTCGCCTCCGAAGTGATTGCTGCCTGCCTCGCCCCCTCCGCCGGGCCCGGGACCATGAAGCTGCTGCCGTCGGTGGTGCTGAAGCTCCTGCTGGCTACAGGTAACAGGGCCGCCGACGCCGCCGAGGTCGGGAGGGTGAGGGGCGCCGAGCTGGGGGAGCAGGGGAAGGTCGCTGCAACGCCCCCGGGCTGGGCCACTTGGTGGGGCCCGTGCGCCCTGGTGGGCGGGAGCCGGCCTTGGTGGGTGGAGGCCGGGGGTCTAGGCGGGGATTCTGATGCAGCCTTGCCCCTTGCCGACAGTGCTTTCAGCGTTGGTGACCGGCGAGAGCCTGGAGCGAATTCGGAGAGGGCTGGCGGCTGGAACCGGCCACCCGGATCCTCCCACTGAATCCACCGACCAGCTGCCGCCCCCGGGAGATGCGCAGGGCCGGGAAGTCCAAACCTTGGATGGGACAAACCTGGACCTTTTCAGAGGTAGGTGTGGGGACCACCCGTCCTCGGACTCGGGCAGGCAATTGGGAGATAGCGGATCTGGGATCAGTTCTATGGGCCCCCCTGGGCGTTGGGGGATATTCACGGAGGAACCCTAGGAAGAGCCTTTTGACCTGACAGAGGGGTGGTGCTGGGGATGGTTGCTGGGGTCTGGTGGGGGGGATCCTGGAATGTGAGTCCTTAAGCCCCATGCCCTTGGGACTCGCCTGGTGGCTTCCTGCCTATGTGGTCACTTGGGGGAAATTCAGACCGGAAAGCCCCCCCCCCCCCGCGATGGATGATTAGCTCTCGGAGGTGAGCTGAGCTGAGATTCATTCCTGAGAGCTCTGGGTGAAAATGGGTGCAAGCCCCAAATCCCACCTCAAATGGCAATTCTCTGGATACTAGAGATTATGAATGTGGAGATGCCCAGGCACATAGTAGGTGTGCAGGGTTAATCGCCATCCCCCAGCTGTCCGCAGGTTAGGACAACGGAAGGGAATGAGGAATTAGCTACCAGAGGTTCTGCCACCACCTCCTGGGGGAGGCTGTGAATGGTCCCAGGAGACTCTACTGAAATACTTAATGAGGGTCTGCAAATGCTCCCCCAAACCCAGAGGCTTCTGACCACCTGGAGTCCCTAAGACACCTTCGGGGAAGGGCCAGGTGCATGGCTCTTCCAGCCAATCTATGTGGTTGCGGCTGAGCACAGGATTAGGGGGCAGAGTCCAGAGCCTCAGGCATCACCTGCTTCCTTGTCCCCAGCCATCTTCAGGGATCCTCTGGAGGGTGGAGCAGGTACTGAGCCCCGGAGCCCTGGAAATGACTTTATTTGGTTGGAAAGATACCCACCTGTTTAGCTCCGCCTACTTCCAGGCTGCCTTTCTCCGTGCCCTGAGTTTCACATAGCTGCCCTCCCTGTGCCTTGTATAGATTAGGATCTTCTCTGAAGCTGAGCCTACCCCCAACCCCACTCTTAAAGCGGTCCTCTGGGGGTCGCCTCTGGCCTGAACTGCCTGGGCTCCCTTTGCCCTCTCCTCTAAGGCTGGGCAGGGCTAGGCTGTGACTCATCCCCACCCACATGGCTGCTCTTCTACCTCTGCCGACCTGACTCACTCCCTGGCCGGAACCTGGCTGTCACCCTACCACTCTCTCCTTACCCTCTCTGATTGGCTTGGCTTCCCTGACTCAAATATCCACAGTTCTGGTCATTTGGGCTCCGCTGAGCACCTGTCTGACCTTCTGAACTCTGGGGGCGGGGGCAGGGGTGCAGGAAGGCAGGGTGCTGGGCTAGAGAATAAGGGGGATTGCTTGCCCTTGCCTCCCCTTCCTTCTCTTGGCTTTGCTGGGCCAGGGCTATTTTTCAGATTTGGAGATTCGATTCACCTGAAAAACAAACAAACAAAAACTGCTACCATTTCTTAAATGCTTCTTGCTTTCTGGGCTCTTGACATGCTAATTTAGTCCTTGTAACAACCCTCTGAGATAGGTAGTCTCACTGTCCACATGCTACTTCAAAGAACCTCAAGGTTCAGAGAGGTCCAGTGACTGTGCATGGATCAGTTTTGCTGCCTTCAGAGCTGCCCCCTGTCATTCTTCTTCAGTGTCTCATCCCGGGCACAATATCTATCCCAGGTGCTCTAGACTTGTGAGGGGTTTGGGGGAGGCAGCTTGGTGGGTGGGGGCATGTCACTCTTCTTTTGGGATCTCAAGCTTTTCACCTGAAAATACAAGGCCATGCATGATGTTCTTTGAGTTTCCTTCCAGCTGGAAGAGTCGACGTCTCCAGTTGAATGTTTCATGCATATCCTTCTGGCCACCATATAGCTATAGCAATGAGCAGTGGGCACCTTTTTCCTACTGGAGCAGAGGAGTTAAGGTTTGGGGGCTGGCGCCAGACCCCTTGGCTAATGGGCGTAGCTCATGAACTACCAGCATGTGGGTGAGGCGGTTTTTCCCCCTGTCACAAAGCCTGGAAAGAAAGGAGGACTCATTATTATCAGTTCCTTCTGGATAGTTCCTTACTTCCCAGCTCCTTAGCCCTTGAATGTCCCACCTGCCCCGGCCCCAGCCCCCACCCAAGAGAACTATCGATGGGACATTTGGAATAAGTGTGAAAGGACCTTTGAGGCAAGTGGGTGAGGTGCAAAGGACACAGAGCAGCGTAAATACCCTGCTTAATGTAAAAAAAAATTGACCAGTAGCAGCCTTCTTACTGTTCCTGAAGCTGGCTCTGCCCAGGACTCAGGGTACCCTGATGCTAGTGGATACCACCTGAAGACATGGGCACAGTCCTTATTTTATGAACCTCCCCGGTGTCCCCTCCCACCCTCATCCACCCTCCAAGTTCTCTTTCCTAGAAGTAATTTTTGTCTCTGACACTGTCTTCCTGCAAGTGGGTCACTGCACGCAGCCTCAGGAAATAGGCTGATGAAGGCCAAAATCGAACCAAGTGGGAGTATTATCAGAGGCGGGGTGGGGAGTGGACAGTGGGTGGAGGTGAGCTGGGTGGGATTGCCCAGTCAGTGGTAGGCACGTGACAGAAGCTAGCCTTCTAGGTAGCAGGTTCTTCAAGGGAGTGTGTGGATGCCCTCCTCAGAATCCACCTTTGCCTCGCCTTCCTCCCAAGGTGTTCCCACTTTCTGGAACGGTCCAGTCTTCCTTCAGCCTTTGGGAGGGACTGAGTCAAGGGGTGTCCCCCGACCCTCCCTCCAAATTCTGATTCCGTCCCCCAGGAGAATCAGAGATTTACCAGGGTCCCTTTCTCCCCTGCAGTTGCTTTCTCCTCCAAGCCCCAAGCGCTGGCCACACCAAACAAAGAGGAATACGGGAAGAAGAAGAAGAAGGGCAAAGGGCTAGGAAAGAAGCGAGACCCCTGTCTTCGAAAATACAAGGACTTCTGCATCCACGGAGAATGCAAATATGTGAAGGATCTCCGGGCGCCGTCCTGCATGTAAGTGGCCCTTCCCCTGGGCTGACTCTGATCGGCACAGCCTCCACGGTCAGCCGCCTGACCGCTCCTCGTTGTCTCGGGTCCTTGCATTCATAATTCTACTCAACCTCTGGGCGGAAGTTGAGGGGAGGAGAACTACTTTTAGCCGTGGAAGGGGCTTCCCCCCAGTGGATGCGATTTCCTGTGGTGTGGGTTTGTGATGCTCTTGCATTGCGGGGCCATTTCCTGCTTGCCCAGAACTCAGCATGCGGCTGGGAAAGCTGGCACCCCGAGGGCAGGTCCTTCAGGCTTGCTGCATGCCCTCTTCTGGGTGGGAGAAGTCAGTAAGAAGTAACACAGAATGGACTTCCTGGGTGGAGCGGAAGTCGCGTAGTCTTCTTTCTCAAGCCCTGTAAGCCCCGTAGGCAGATATGAGGTGCAGCTGCACGCTTGCTGGGCAAGTGTGTGTATACTCTGGTATATATGCACCCGCATGAGCCAGTACAATTCTAAAGCATAAGAAACATCCTCATGGGAGCGGGGGACCCCTTTCTCCCTTCTGCCTTACCCTGGTGAAGGACGGGAGGGGAGGTCATGGGGGTTATTTCTTTTCCTATGTTCCTCTTGGCCTTTGGACATGGGGGTGGGTTGGGGTGCTGGGGGAGATGTTCTCTGTTCAGGACTAACAGGAAATGGAACCTCACCCAGCAGATGGTAGCCCCCAATTAGGCAGCATCACCCTTTCCCTGGGCAGGGGTGTGGGCAGAGGGGCCGTGGGTCCCTGGCTGCTCTGCTTAGGCCGAGCCCAGAGCCCAGCAAAAGACAGCCTTGGCAAACCCTCAGGGATGACGGCACTGGCAGGCATAATGTCACCACTGTGCCCGAGGCCAACACCACACGTCAGGCTGCAAACATTCACTCGCTTCCACTGGGCACAAAGTCCCCGTGGAGAGGCTAGGAGCATTGTGGCCTGGGAGACACTGAGCAGGGACAAGAGACTGCTGGGTACACAGCACCTCCTGACCTGTAAGAAAGCTGGCGGCCCCCTGTGATGGGTGCAGATCCTTTTGCTTTTTTCCTTGTCCCCTCTGATTGCACATAGCAGAGTCACCTAGTATTGAACATTGGCAGACAGACCTCTCTCTCTTTACCATGTCCTTGGTCGCCAGTTTGTCTTCTATAACATCCTTGTCAGGGCATTGCTTGGGAGTAGCCTAGGGACTCCCCAGAATGCCCCTCCCAGGATCTTGGGACTGGGAGGAAATATTTGTCTTAAATTTGTAAAATGGCATCATTAGCTCAGGGTGGAGGCAGTGGCTCTGAGGGTAGTCAGGATGGATAGAGGCCAGGAATCTGTCTGGGCTACTTAGCCCAGGGCATTGGTGCATGACTGGGGCCTCTGGTGCTTAAGGGAACCCTTGTAAAACTCTTCTCCCACAGCATGGAGTTCCACAGGCCACCTCAGCCCAGAGCACCTAAATAAGGGTTCCCAGGGCCCACTTCTCAGTGGCTTTTGGGATAGTGGACATAACCTTAAAGGGGCAGAACCTCTCCTTTGCCCTGGACCTTGATAGTTTCCACTTACCATAACATGAGTTGAGACCAACAACTATGTTTTAAGTACCTGTTTGATACCAGACAGTATTTTTTTGGGTGTGTGTGTGTGTGTGTGTGTGTGTGTGTGTGAGGGATTTCATTTGTCTCTTGGGATTCTCAAAAGCTGTTTGCTAGGTAGGCAGCCTTGCTATCTTTGCTTAAGAAATAAGGAAATTTGAGCCAGAAGGGGATAAGCGATTTCCTGCAATTAAGAGCTAAATAAGAGGATAGAAACGGGACAGGGACTCCCAGGCCAGCCTACTTTTCATTGCCCAAGGCTGCACTGGGTGTTAGCCTTCCTGAGCAGGATTTATGGAGGACAACTGTTCACCTAGAGGAGCTCTCTGGAGACTTTTACTAGCCTAGCAGGAGAAAGATGAGGCTTTCTACTCCCCCAAAGAGTTAGTCTTGGAAACCCACAGGAGCAATGCTGCGCCGCCCTGTAGGGTCGCTACGAGTCGAACTGACTCAAGGACAGCAAGTTGCAGAACAGGATAACAATTTGATCTGATGAGCATCTGCTGCCTTCTTTAGCTAGGCAGACTTTTCAGGGAGCTAGATTTTTTTTTGTTGTTGCCTCGTTTGGCTTCTTCCTGCTTTCTGTCCTCCAGCTCTGGATTCTCGGGACAGAAAGCGGCAAGAAGACAGAGTTCCTGATTTGGGGAAGCATGACATCGAGGCACCTACATCTGGGGGCCCTTTGTGGCTCCTCCCTGCCTCCAGACCCAGGGTGTGTCCAGGCTGGCGCGGTGAGCTTGAGGCTAGCCAGCTTCCTAAACCAGCCCTCCGCAGCCACCAGTGACAGGAAAACCGTGCTGTGTCATCAGCCAGAAGTCACCCTCAGGGAAGAGTTCCTGCCAGGCTGCAGACCCAGGAATGGCCAGCAAAATCATCCCATGGCTGGAAAAGGCCTGGAGGCAGCTGGGCTAAGGGGGACTCGCAGCTGGAAGAGGAGCCTGGGGGCTTCCTGTTACCTCCCGGCCTAGTTGCAGAGAGCGTGGTGCAGAGGGCCCCCTGGGAATGGCAAGCCGTTTTCTTTGGCTCCATCTGACTTTGGGACACCATTCCTTAGGCTGGGGGTACTGCCCATAGAAAACCACCCACACGCCTTTTGGACTTGGCCTTTGGTGAAGTGCTTTCCCCTGTACTATCTCATTCGATTTTCTTGAGGTAAATGAGTCCCGGTGGCGCTGTGGGCTAAGCATCGCTCTGCTAATCACAGAGTCAGCGGGTCAAACCCACCAGCCACTCTGTGGGAGAAAGAAGAGGCCATCTGCTCCCATAAAGAGTGACCATCTCAGCCACCCTGGGGAATGGTTCTACTCTCTCCCTTATGGTGACAGAGGGCCCCAGCGAGGCAGGCAGGCAGGCATCTAGTATCCCAGTGTTTTTCACGAGGAAACCACAGTTTAGAAAGGTGAAATGACTTGTCCAAGCTCACCTGGGTAGAAATAGAAGCCGAACTAGTCTGGAACTCAAGTATTTGGGGTTCCCCCTCCCCCATGCCCCTCCACCTTGTGGGGTAGGAGCAAGAAGCTCAGTTCGGAAGATGTCTCTGGACCCTAGAGTAAGGTGACCAGATTTTAACATTGGTAAAGCGGGACACCATTGATAAAACTCATATCCTGGTGAAGTAGCCACATGGCAGCCGAAAACCATATACCCTAGCTTGTTGTGCAGTCTCTCAAAAAATAGGGACTTTTTAAAAACGCTGTGGGACGCTGGAAAAATTGTTAAAAATCAGGACTATCCCGCCAAAAGCGGGACAAAAGCGGGACGTCTGGTCACCTTACCCTAGAGGGATCTTGCTTCTGTTGTAAAACAAGTTCAGAAATGGGTCACAAACACGTGTCCCAGTTTGATGGGCAGCTGGCTCCAGGAGACACTTGATCTCCCCCATATCCCCACCCCCCTCCTGGGATGCTTGGAATGTACTCATCCCTTCCTCCACCCCACCTCCCCACTACCCCCAAGTCTCTGGGGAAGCCAGGAGTGTTCTGCAAAGGGAGGGCGAGGTAGGTAATATTAGGATGTTTACATTATTATCCTTTTGACTCAGGGTGGGGGTGGAGGGATTATGTAACTGAATTGCGGGGCTCTGAGGCCAAGCTTTATTTCTATCAGCTGAGTAACTACCTGCAGGGTCTGACCGGGGACTGGGAGTGCAAAACAGCCTAAGCCTCTCCTCCTGAGGGCTTAGTCTCTGGGGCCAGCCAGACTGCCTGACCCGTCCGCTCACTACCTGTGTAGCCTGGGCACCTTAGCTAAGGCAGTGAAGACTCTGTCTCATCTTGAACATGACAATAGTAACTCCTTCCTACAATGATTTGAAATGAAATGAAATGATCCTTGGAAAACAGTTCACACAGAGGCCCTGGTACCTGGCAAGCCTTTCATGTTGGCTATTTTTGGTTGTTTATTCATAAGAATTAATAGCATTACTCATAGAGAGCAGGGTCAGGCATCCCTAGGAACCCTCGATGTGTAATCTGCAGTGTTCGCAGTAGAAAGATCCATGACCTTGGAAACCTGCCCCGAACTGATTTCTAGTTCTGGGCCCCACTGCTGCTTCCTCGTGAAAGGTTAGGCCAATCACTTAATCTCTCTGGTCCATTCAGTCTGTAAAATGGGGCTCTGCTTGCCTGCCAGGTTGTCAGGAGACCCAGTTGAGCTCGTAGGCATGAGTAGTGTCTGGCAGAGTGCAAACAGCTGTGCCCGGGTCATTGTCCCCGTTGGAGGGTGCAGGCCCAGGGACCCAGGACCTCTCAGTCAGCTCCTACATGCCTGCCTCCTCTGCTGGATTGGTCTGCTTGGTGGAACTTTCCTGGCATCTTTGGCAGATTCTTCAGGTGTGGCTCAAAAACAACCCATGTGAAATTGTTCATTACAGATTAGTAAGTCAACACAAGTAAGCCTGTGCTTACCTTGCTTAGTGGGTAATCTGTCCCTGGCTACCAGAAAGCCAATGTCCCGAAGTCCCCCGGCAGATGGTTCTACTGCACTCCTGGCTGGGAGAAGGCAGTGGTGGGCAGTGAGTGGGCAGCATACTGTGCTCAGCGTCAGAGGATCTATGTCCACAGCATTGCTGGGTGACCTTGAGAGAACCACTCTGCCTTTCTGTACGATGGCCTTCTAGCTCCATCCCAGGAGCACTGTGGACATCATGGGTTACCCATTGGGCTTCCAACTACAAGGCCATCAATTCGAAACCACCAGCCACTCCATGGGGAGAGAGAGAGGAGGCTTTCTACTCCCCTAAAGAGTGATGACAGTCTCGGAAACCCACAGGGGCAGTTCTATAGGGCGGCTACGAGTGGGCCTTGAGTTTGGTGTGGGTTTGAGCTGCAGCAAAGGCTCTGCAAGGGGATCAGATAAAGGAAGGGATGCGATATACTTATTCCACTGGAAGCACTTCCAAGTCTTCTTCAGCACGCCAAGGAAATGCTTTGCCTCATTGATCATCGATCGAGGTAGTGGCCGTAGGGTTTTTGCTCTGAGCAAGGAGAGCCAGCGAGGGGCGATGCTGCCGGTTCCCGCTCTGACAGGGCACCTGGGCTGGAAGGGGCACTCTTGGTTGGTGCGTTTTGCCCTGTGGCGAAGGGCAGGCCTGCCACTGCAGTGCTCAAAGGCCTGTGGCTCCCAAGCTGGGCCCTGCATCCAGGAGGAGCTGGGAGTTAAATGACGGGAACTCGAGCGAAAAACCACTCTTGGCAACGGGTCAGGGTCTATTAATAGGCTGGGCAGTGGCAGCGGCAGCGAGGGCTGGAACATTGATGGGAAGGCTGGTTTATTTCTGGGTTGGGGTGTTGAGGGGCCTCCCTACAAGAAGTGATACTGAATCCCCTTACTCAACCCACCAACTCTTGTGCCCAAGTCCCGTTCAGGGGGCTGAAGTCGAATGTCAGCACACGTGACCTAAATCAGTCACACATGGAACACCACGAACCGAGACCTTCAAACCTCCCCGCTCACTTTTTCCCTGCCTGGAGCAGAACTCGCAGGCCAGGGAACCAGAAAGACCGATAGGAAGGGAGGGCGTGGAGTGAGGGAGGATGTCCATGGAGCATTCAGAGGGACTTTTACAGAGTTTCCTACCATAGAAGAAAGATGGGGAAAGGGCAGAGACCACGGTTGGGGATTGACTACCAGGCAAGAAAGGCCACGTCACTAACCCTCTCTCCTCTTCCTCCTCCTTCTGTCTTGACCCAGCTGCCATCCAGGTTACCATGGAGAGAGGTGCCATGGACTGAGCCTCCCAGTGGAAAACCCCTTGTATTCTTATGACCACACAACCATCCTGGCCGTGGTGGCTGTGGTACTGTCTTCTGTCTGTCTGCTCGTCATTGTGGGGCTTCTCATGTTTAGGTGAGTATTGGGGTCCCTTGCAGACTGTTTCTGGAACTCAGCCCATTCCTCCTCCTCCTCCTCCTGGGTCTTCTGGTCATTGATCCTATGAGTCCTGTGCCTCCACCTCCCCAAATCTTGGTCCAGGTCTGACTGACCTCCTGGGTACAAGTTCTCCAAGAGCCTGGTTTCTTTGTTACAGGAGTCCGGTCTCTTGGACACAACGTACCAGGCCACAGCAGGTTCTGTTCTTCGTAGGGGTTCTTTGCCTGCCTCTGTGGCCCAGCAAAGGAGGCTGATGGCCCTGTTGGGGAAGCCTTGGATTGCTAGCTGAGATGCTGGAGGTTCAAATCTACCAGCTGCTCCGCAGGAGTAAGATGGGATTGTCTGCCCTTGTCAAGATGTATAGACTACCTGGGGTCACTATGAGTCGGAATCAACTCAATGATGGTGGTTTTGTTTGTTTGTTTGTGGCCCAGAAATCCACCCATGGAACCTCCCCTTGACACATTTACTTCTCCTGGTTTTGTTCTTGGATGACAGTAGCACGTGACTTAGTGATCAAGGCACAGATGGTACTCTTGATATTTCCTTCCAATTCTGAATGATCTGGGCCACAGGCCATATTTCTGATCCAAATAATGTTCTAGGTTGGGGTAGACCTACCAAGTAGCCTGTCTGTGTTCAGTGCAGCTCAATTCCTGAGAGACCTGGAATGAGCTACCTCATCTTACTGAGGATTATAAACTTTCAGCGATTTGAATGCCTTCTCATCTACCCTAGGAGGCTGCTGTATGAGGACCCCATGAAAGATCTGAATCCAAACCCACCGCCATTGAGTGGATTCTGACTCAGTGACCCTAAAAGGCAGAGCAGAATAACAGAGAGGCATTAACTCCTTCCAGAAGCAAACAGCCCCATCTTCCTCCTGCAAAGCACCTCTGTAGCTTCCTGTTGTTGGCTTTGGCCACACTTTAGCAGCTCAGTGAAATGAGGTGAATGAATGAAGCAAAAGCCCTTCAGAAACCATAGCCTGCTGTTTGAGACAGGCATTCTTCTTGGAAACTGGTCTTTAATCTGGGCTCCATTGGGCTGCCAGACCTTCTGGGGTTTTCCAAATAGTGGACGGAAGCATCGGGGCACAGTTCTTGGGAAAGACCTGCATCGTGTGCCACAGTTCCTCCTCTGTCACAGCAAACAGGGCTCTTACTCACAAAGCTTGTCTTGCACAGGTACCATAGGAGAGGAGGCTACAATGTGGAAAATGAAGAGAAAGTGAAGTTGGGCATGACGAATTCCCACTGAGAGAGACCTGCACTAAGGTAATGGCTCACCCTTTGTGCCAGGGCACCATCCCTACCTTTCATGGGTCTCTCTCAAGGATTGCTGAATAAGTCTTTTGATCTAAGTGTTGGGAGATGGGAGTTGGGGACAGGCTACCCTGGAGTCAGCATCACATTGCACAATCGTGTTCAGAAAGGCGATGGGTGTTTCATCCCCACTTAGGGTACGTGTCGCCAGAGAGAGGTCAGAGAGGACAGTGTCTCCTTCCCCTCATCCCTTTCCACCCCCTCCAACCCAGATGACCTCTCCACCTTCCCCTTTAAGGCTGGACTGGGAGATTTGGGGATTTAAATGCCTTCTTCTTGTGCTTTAGGAATCAGCTGAGGACTGCTACCTCTGAGAAGACTCAAGGTGGTCGCAGACTCTGCAGAGGAGAAGGATTTCACAAGGAGTCCTCTGGACTCCTTGTTCCCGGTGGTTACCTAGACTGGGCCTCCCATCATTGCTTTGCCAAAACACCAGAGCCTTCAAGTGCCAAACAGAATATGTCTAATAGGATCTGGGTCAGAAGAAAGCAAAACTAAGGGCCCTTCATGCCCCTCTGATTCCCCGCCACCAAACCTCACTTACCCCCATGCATTTGTTTAAATACTTATCGTCTGGATTCAAATGCCAGTTCAATTCCATATGCTCCAGAATATTTGACTGAAAGAGAGAGAAGAAGCAGAGGAGGAAGGAAAGATTTGTGGACTCAGGCAAACAAAGACTGAGAAGCCATGTACTCAAGTCATCACCAAGGGATCTGCCATTTAGACCCTCCAGCGCTGGATTTGATGAGCTAACTGTGAAATAACACAAGCCCAAGAACTCTGAATGTTGGGACTTCTGCCCAGATGGAAAAATAACAACTATTTTTTGTTTGTTTATTTGTTTGTTTGTAAAAATGACTTTTAAATTATATATTTATTTTATTCTATGTATGTTAATTTATTTAGTTTTTAACAATCTAACAATAATATTTCAAGTGCCTAGACTGTTACTTTGGCAATTTCCTGGCCCTCCACCCTCCACCCTCCACCCTCATCACCGGGTTCAGGGCCACACTCCTCTGCCACAAATCCCAGTGGCTCGGTGGCCCATCTGTAGTAATTTGTTGTCTGTCTGCATTTCTGAAGATCTTCTATGATCGGAGTGCTGCAGGGGGGAGTTCTGTACGGTCAGGATGTAGGAGTTAACTTTTTCGGATCCACTCTGTGAGTTGGACTGCAGTCTTGCCTAGGCAATTTTGTCTACCGTGTGTTTTTGAAAGCCGAAGGTGCTGATGTCAAAGGTGTAACAGATATCAGTATTACCCCATGTCCTCTTCCTCCCAAATCTCAAGAGGTTGGGCTCCCAGGCCTGTAGCTTTCCTGGCCCTTCCCCGCCATGACCCCCAGCTCATAGGAGCTCACTCTCCTTTGTGTCCAGACATTTCTCTTACTCCTGCCATTCTCCTGGTGCTACTCCACGCAGGGGTCAGTGCAGCAGAGGACAGTCGATGGAAGGTGTTAGCAAAAGGGAAAGAAAGTGAAGGAGGAATGAGAAGCCTTGGAACTGACTGTTCTTGGTCATTGGTTACCCGCCAATTTCTACCGAGTTTGGAGGTGGGGAAAGCTTTTGTGTAAACCCACCCACCTTACCCAAACTACCAAGGTATGCTGTCTTGGTCCCTTCTGGAAGTTTCTGGTGCCATTTTTGAACTGTTACAACCTGTATTTCTAAACCTGGTTAATATTTATACTTTGCAATTCAAATAAAGATAACCCTTACTCCATAGACATTTGTCTGCTTGTTTTAACTGGTAACTGGTTTAAGACAGCTATTTTTTAAAGCCCTGACTAGGTGTTAGAGTCGATGCTTGGCTTATTTATGTGCACTGTTTCAACATCCCCAACAACCCTGTGACAGAAGTCCAATTGTTCTCCCATGCATCCCGAGGAGGAAGACAGCTCAGAGGTGACACAACCTGCCAGAGTTATTATACACTGAGAGCCAGGCACCGACTACTTTGTCTTAAGACTTAAAACATATTACCTCTGAAACAGAAGAGAATGATATTAGTTCAGCTGGTTATAACTGAGAAAGATATCCATTCAACCAACAGGGCATGGACTCGGCCTGGTTCCTGGTGAAAACAATGTTTGTTGACTCCCTTCTTATGCTCCATAGCAAATTCATTAACAGGTCATGTCAGCCCTACCCTTAGATGAGGCCCCATCTGCATCAATTTCTCGTCACTGACACTACCGTCACCTGCCCATCATCGGCTCCTGTCTGGAATTTTGTGAGTCTTCTGTTTCTCTTGTTTCATCTTGCTGCCCATAGTGGATTTCCAACAGAACAGACAGTGATCTTTTAAAACATGTCATCTTACCTGATCTCGAGGCCTTCCCTGTTTCCTGTGATACACGAGCACATTCCTCTCCCACTCCCTTAGCTTGTGTGATGGGTAAAACGGTTGTTCGTGCCATCAGGTCGGCTCCAACCCATAGCAACCCAGTGCACAACAGAGCGAAACACCACAGAGCTCTGCACCATCCTTAC